CATTACTTCGTCAGTTGACTTGTTGATAATTCAAGAGCAAGGAGAGTAGCTAAAGCACCGCCCAAACTATGACCAGTTACATAAACATGCCACTTGGGAGTGGGTTCAAGGTCATCATCTCTGCATTCATTTCATTGAAACCTGGTTGAGTTAATTTCCATTATTCAAATTGTAATTGAGATTATATGATTACAAATGCATTATTAGTATAGTTCTGTGGTAGCCTCCTCCAATATGACAGATTTTATAAAAGTAGTCTACATAGTAATGTTGACAACAACAAAAACCTGCCATTGGGTACCTGGGTAATGCAGAGTTAAAATATCTTAAATAGATATAATGCCTAACACAATACATTAAAAAAAAGATGACTTCCTCTCAACTACCACAGAAGCTGGTCTTTTAATAATAACGATACAATATTTTACCCATAGTTCATAAAAATAAATTACTCATATTTGAAATGAGTTTGTTTGCATGACTTTGTTATCTCAGAATCAAGCAAAATATATCGACACTCAGGAATAATGAAGAGACTTTAGTTGTCTAATACACTAAACATAGAAAGAATTACAAGGAATATAGACAAGACACATTAAACCATTAGTACATGGAGCCTAGTACAATAGTACATGCTTCAAGATGAATTATACGCTTGAAGGAGCCAGAAAAAATAACCAAGATAACAAATATTTAAATGCAATCTGAAAATAACCAAGATAACTATGAGAACTTACACATATCCAACTGCTTGCTTGATAAGTGAGATAAGCTTTGTTCTGACCGAATCATATGCACTTAAAAAACCGCTGTGGACCTGAAGGAAATGTAAGCATTTTCATTTCATTAGTCATTATCAGGATAGAGTAACATGATAAGAACTCCAAGAATATTAGGAGCCCTGCTGCATCATTAGTGTATCTTATTTCTATATTCTAATGAGCCTCAAGTGTAGAAAAGGATATATGCTCATGAATAAGAATCCAAAGAAAGGTGCTGAGCTGTCAAAGGATGGAGAAGATACATGATTTTATTAGTTTGTACTTTGTAAGGGACTTTTACAGTTTATTTCAGTTTATAATAAGGGTTCTAATATATACCCCAAATTGGCTCTACTCTACCACTCATCACAACACAAGAGCTCAAGGAAGTCAATACCCTAATGTCCAAGTGTTATGAACCACTTTGGGTTAAATTCATTCTTCCCAAAATGGCACATGCACAAATGATCACCATTATGACCCAAAGCACCACCTCCGTACCCATCCATTTTGGCCTTACCATACACCCCACACAACTTTACCAACTTTCTTATCTACTTGATAAGACATTAAGACCAAAGGTTCAGGTATATCATGTGGTATCAACGCAAAGGTGTTCCACATCCCAAAGGGACCATTGACATGCCCTTCCCTTTTCGAGAACAAATAAAATATCATTAAAGCCCATCTTCGAATACTTCCCTAAAAAGACATTCCTAAGTCTCACAAGATAAAATCTAAATGAACCAAAGGTTGCACCTCGGTTCCAAAGTTATCTTGATATAATTCATAAATCCCAACCTAATCATTCCAATTCTACATTTTTAATCCACGAATTTCAAATTATGTAGTGAGAAGATACACCTTCCACCGACCAGATTACACTTGATGAAATAAAAGTAAGAGTACTTCTGTAAAAGTTGAGCCTTTACCTGCAATTTTTCCTTAATTCCCAGATTACTGAGCTATTA